TGTCATTTCGTTGTATGGAACTTTTTACCATCTTATCCAGTGGTGTACCCTTCCCTATCCTTCGTTGCTGTGTGTTATACTCGCTTCCAGATTCCAAAAATTGCTGCTTACAATTACTTAGCATTTTTTCTGTGGTAGCCCTGGCCCTTCTAGAAAATCGCCCCTACAGGGCTGTCGAGAAGTTCGCGTACTATCATACGTGGGTGGCTTTCTATAAATTCTTCGGCCTTACCTGATTAATGCACTTTTGCGGCGCCGATAGTCGGATTCTCGTCCCACTTGCTAAACTGGCTTACTATTTTCAAGCGATTTAAGGTGTCTACTGATGTTCCATCGTCCCAATTGAAAACTGGTATCCAATGAAATAAATTACCCAGAGCGTACTAGACGGTTCATCTTTCTCCAAAGCGTTGACTGAAGTAACGCTTTCCCGCGGATGGTTCCTAAAAATATCCATTGATCTAAACGTGCCTTTCGATAACTGTAATGGCTGTATTCTGTCGAAAGGTAAAATTGATATGTGAGTGATAATAATTTCAATGAGTTAATTCTTCGACCTTGCTGCAATTATCTTTTAAACCTGTCCATTACAGTTCGAACTCACTCTACACCTGACACCAATATGCCGTAACGGGAAGGGACATTCTTGACGGTGCCCTGCTAGTGACAGGCGAGAGCGGTCACAAGTTTATTATAATAAGCTGTTTATTGTTCCTTCACGTTCCTTGGCCCTGCAGTGGTCGCCTAACCCGACGCTCAATCTGTCGCTTTGAAGAAAAAAAAGTGGGGAGGTAAACGCACCGGCAGGTAGACGCGCCGGCAGGCGGCGGTCGTTCGTACGCACACCAAAGAGCATTTCGACGGCGATCGAACCCGCGGACAACCGACTGTCGGATGGCTGTCAATTACCTGCGGTAGCGGCAGGCTGACGGGGCAGTCGGTCGGGTCTACGCCAACCGGTTCCCAGTGGATCAAACCTTGTGGAAACCACGGCAGCGGATCAGCAGAAGTCTACTCCAGACAGGCTCTGTGATTCAAGAACGAACGAAGCTTCAGCGATCCCAACTCTCATTTATATAGCGGCGTGTCAGTCCATGTTGGCAGTGTTGGGTTGAATGGCCTTTCTGGAGAGATCTCCGAGAAGGCCGTGTCTAGGGAAGAGGGGGTGAGGGAGGTTGCTTGGTCGCCCGGGTGGGCGCACCCCTTGGCCGTAGCTTCATCGCATAAACATAAAGTAAGCTTTAGTTAAGGAAGTGATTAAGAAACTTAAAAAAACTATGCAGGTTCAGTAATTGAGACTTTTTACAATATTGAATGTGCCAATATTCTTGTTTAGAGAAATTGTAATGACATTGTGGGTTTGTTAAAAATGAGACCAGTGATAGAAAGATGATACATGCCCTTGAGTTCAATACTTTATTTTCCAAGTGTTATCAAATGTTTTCCCCCAATACCAAAACAGTAGTCCTTAGCACCTCAATTGTTTGTGCATATGGTATTGTGTGTGTGTAAGTAAGTAAGTAAAAAATTATTATAAAGATGAGAATGAGGAAGGGATGATTCCAAACGACTGTAACCTAGCTAGTTAAGTTCTGCTATAGCATCTGTCTGGAATTCCTTGAAGAACATCTCAGAAATTAATAATGAAAATAATCAAGTTTATGTAAACATGTTATTTCACATAACTCTGAGATATCCATACCTATTACTTTTTCTTGCAGAATTGAGCGCAGTCGCACAATATTGCCAGCGCTGCTTGTTGCTGCTGAAGATGCTCTGAGACGGGACAGCCAAATTAATGAAGACTACTTCTTCAGTCTCCTGTTCACTACAGTCAATCTCAAATTAGTTCATATTGTCTGTCATGACAAAGGATCACATGATTTGTCTTGTGATTCTTCCCAGTTCACCAAGTGAACATGCCAATTTATTGTAGTAGAGAAAGGGAACAAGACTTCTCTTTATATGTTGTACTTAAGCCTTCAACTTTTCACACTGCTTTTGCTGTGTGGCCAATTATAAAAAGTATTCTATATTTTATGAGAAGGTAAATGTATGTGAATGTTAGTAACTAGGTTTGTGTCAGATTGAAAGTTTATATTTGTGTTGTTGAATGCTTAGTGTTGTAATTTAGTATACAACTTGACTGGATCAAAGTATTATTTTTCCATATAAAATTTTTGCAAGTTGATACTGCCTTTAATTTTTGCACCTTGCCAGATTTAAAAATAAATATGACGATATTTCTCTAATAGAAATTATAACTGTTTTAAAATCTATTGACTTGTTATGCAGGGTGCTATAGAAATATGAAATTATCTTTAAAAAATATATTATGTGTATATGCTAATAGTGTTACATATTAATAGTGTTTGATAAATGTGTTGAAATGATGCCGATCCCATGGACAGTAATTTTGAAACTAGGTTTTGTTTAAAAAAATAAATGATCACTTTCATTGAAGTGGACATTTTGTATGGTTTGTTATAATTTTTCTCTTGTAATAACATTGCTGGTTACCAATAGCAACTGGAATAACCTCATCTGGGTTGCTGGAAAAAACAGCCAAAGAAGAATGTTTTGATGAGCATTGTTGTTTTTGCAGTATTGTTGCGGATGACACTTTCATCTGCTGTTATTCTTCATTTTTCAAATAAAATTACTGAAAATTTTATTTGTCCTTATTGCTAAGAGTAATTATTTCCTACCATTGCGCTTGTAATTGGAAGCAGAAGTCAACTAGTTCAGTGTCGTTTATGCTGATAATAGTGTGTGTTTTCTTATGTTATTCAAGAAAATTATTGGATAAATGACTATAATAATTTGTTTCATCCATGTAATCATAGGTACCAAATTTGTAGAATGCATATCAAGACTATGTTTAAAGCCTGGTTTATCTGAATCTTGATTTAACATATTGGGTTGTATACACCCTCAGAGTAATGATCTTGACAGAAAATTCATTGTGTTATTGATAATAGGAGGTCCTATCTTTGTCCAGGCCTGTTTTTGAAAATTGTCCACCAATTTCATTGTTAAGGTTGTGAACATGGTACTATAGAGTTCATTATTGCTCTTAGAGTTAATAAGTAAGTGGTGTAGAGTCAGACAAATATTCTCAAATAAAAGAAGTAGTTCAGTGTCAAGTATGTTATCTAAAACTGGAAGAAATAGGAGAGACTCAGAGATGTGTAGATCTCTGTGCTTGTGTGTGTAAGTGTTAGAATATGAAGCAACAACTTTAATCATATGCTATTTTCTCTCCTACTAGTTGTTTTCTTCACTAGTTCTTGTCCAATCATATGAAGTTTTCAATCAGTTTCCTATGAGATAACATACTGACATTACTTGAATTATTTTGAAAATTAGATTTTAACTTTTACTTTCTTCTTGATTCTGTGTTTTTCCCATTTTTAGATAAAATAAAATTTGTTTAAAACTTTTGTTACTTTTGTGCAAATGCAAATTATATGTAAACAGAATATGTACGTTCAGTGCAGGAAGAAACATCAAATGACATTTTCAAGAGAAATATGTGCACATAAAATTAGAGTAAACATTGTTCAATGTTGAGATATTGCTATTATATATAAATGAATAAGTAAATGACTGTAGCTGGTGAAGCACCCTTAAACTTCAATCAGTTATAGAAGTATAATTTTTTTTTACTTAACTAGTACAGAAAATGAGACTATGGCATTCAAATGAAATAATGACGGAAAAGTGATGACACGAGCCTTGTTTGACCCTTTGAAGTGAGTTCTCCAAAGACACTTTCATACAAGGTGTGTACGTTATTTTTTAGTATGAATTTATGGAACTTACAATTACTTTTAGGATCATTTGCAATATGTGAGGTGGCATGTTAATTCATGTTGCTTCAATATTTTGTTTACTTTGCACTACTCGGTTCTTTTGTATGGCCATAACTTCTTTGATGTACTCGTATGACAAGTCTATTTTACCATATGCGAACCACAAACAAACACTTTCCAATCAGTAAACTATGAAGATGGTAACAACTAGTCTTCATGCAAGATTGCTGAAAAGTAAATATATGTTCATATTTATATTCTGATATAATATAGACTTACATTTGTGAGGGACTTTTTCTATGAGTATTCCTTTCTACAATTTTTGAAAGCGTAGACTGCTGAATTTCGCAGTATTTTATTTGCTGCTTTACAAAAACTTGCAGCTTTAAAGTTCCTTCCAATTAGTCCTCTTAGGTACTATCAGTCAAGTTTATAGCAAAGAATAGTTTGTGTTTCATTTCTCATCTCTCCTTACTCAGATCCCATGGTATTGTTCGCAAAAACTTACTGTAGTATATTCAAATACGCATACTCTCTCTTTTATCATTTGTTTATCTTAAATTGTATAAATTTGATCTCAGTTTTGAGCAATAAATAGCATTGATGTGACTAGCTTTATGATCGTCCATATTATATATACTATGTGGAACAACATGAGAATTTCATGCAAAAAAGTATTATTTTTAAAGATCTAAATGATAAAACTAAGTATCTAATGACATTTTTACCTTAAGGTATGTAAACTATTTTTACTATTGTGTATTTATCAGATGGTATATCCGAGAGTGTTACTAGGGGTGATCCTCCATGTAGGAATTGTAACAAATAATAAACAAACCAATAATACCATGAATTCTAGTTTTTTAAATGCTTGCGAACAACTATAACTGTTCAAGTAGAGATGGTCATTATAAGGGTAATTCAATGAACGTACCACCAGGTGCTGCTTAAATCATTGTAGAGACATCATTTATAATCCCTTTTATTGATCATTCTAAACATCTGGATACAACCATGCTCAAATTTTCTGAAGTTTGGTTTATTATATATGTTGCACAGGATATATTCATTTTAAGAACTATTTGGAGGTAAAGGGTAAATTAACAAATGACCTAGATCTCATAAAATATCTTACCTAATATTACCAAAGAATTGACCAAAATGTGGCGTAAAAGAATAAATTGTGTTTGTGTGTGTTTTGAAATTTCTGGGAATTTAACGATTGCTTGGAAAGAGTTTTAGTCTGAATTTTCCACCAGAGAACAAACTTGCAACTTGAAACATGTTTTAATTGACTTAAAATGGATGAAATACAAGGGAAGAATTAAGAAGTAGGAAGAATTCTTGAGTGCACGTTGATTTGTTATATTTTTTATTTTCATATGAACAATTAGGCCTTTACATGGCATCGTAGAAAAATTTATCTTCTATAATTAGGCCTTTAACTTCTCAGTGTACCTGAAAACAGTAGATTCTGGTTGTAGTTAACTTCTGGGGACTAACATTTTAGGTTCAGTATATCAATGTTCACTATATCCGATGATGTCAAAATTAAGAATTTCTCCATAACAATTGATTTTAATGTGGAGATGCAGAAAAACACATTTACAGCACAAACTGAAAATTACAATGTCTTCATTTGTTCTTTAGAAAATTAATTATTTTTAATTGTTTCCTTTGTAGATTTTTCGTTAGTAATTCCTCTAAATCCTTCTCTAGAGTTCATGCTCTCTCCATACTTCGTTCTGCATTGCCCTCTGTATCGAAGTATCACAATGCAGTCTTCACACTGTTTAATATCTCTTGCACTGTTAGAACACAGTCCCATTCTCCAAAGACCCTTGTTCTCACCTAATAACATACAAGATGCTTTCGGTGGCAGAATGGCGCAAGCAGCTAATGAAATTGATTGCTTTTCTGCATGGCATGATGGATATTGTCAGACTGTGGTAGTCACATTCTTCCTGTTGCCTACATAGAACTTAAGACGCATTGACCCACAAAATGTCAAATAACACCAAACTTGATACTGATGCAAGCAATTGTGTGGTGCTGCCGCCAGTTGTAGCCCACACAAGACATGACCTTAGTTTTCACAATGAAACTGTCATAAATCATCAGTGAGGTTCCCATTCCGAGTCCGCTACCTTCACCTCAGGGGAGACTTCTTCAATTATCACCTTTGGCTGTATGCTTTCCAAGCTGCTTAGTGTTGGCTTTTGTGGCTTGATGCAATACATTATTTTTCAGAATGTATTTCCTTCATTCACTGTAACTGAGGTTCAGGTTCACTAAAAAAGGATATTCTTATGATTCTTATTTGTTATGTAAGTGAAACGGGACTAGTGACTTTAACTTCACTATCTCAAGAGTTCACTATAACTAGAGTCGACTGTATATTCTCTTAAATGGTGCTTGTGTACCTTTTTTGGAATTAGTGTGCTTCCATTTTTCTCATTGCTACAGCAAATTTTCTTAACATGTGTCAATTTGGCGTTAATATGCATTATTTGGGTTTCATAAACTGCTCATATATTAGATATTTTTGTGCATCACTGTTGTTAGAATGCCATCATGAGAGCGTATTTTCATAATAATGATAATATGAAATTTACAACTTGCTGTCTCAAAACACTTTCATATATTCTATACAGATAAAACTTGTCATTCTGTCTTATATTCTTACTTCTACATATTTATTTTTTTCTTATTTATGGGGAAAGTAATGTTGTCATTGAAATATAGGGAATTAATTAGCTTTTACTTGTGGTATTTAATTATGTTATCAAATTTAATAATTTAATTACATATTATTTTATAAAGGAATTCATTTGTAAATGACAATGCCCCCAAATTTTCAAGTTTATAATTCTTTTCTGTAATATAATTTATTTGTCATATTTACTTTTGTAGTGCCTTTATCTATCTTTTTTGTTATATTCAGTGGTGATTTTAAGATTGTTAGAATCTGTAGAGATATTTGATCAATTTTGTTAGCACTTGTTGCATCCACTTCCCTACTTTGAATATTCACACGCTTATCTTGAATATTCATTCTTTGTGCTATTTTAACCCTTAACTGACATGGCATGTTTCCGATCTCTGAGGAGCACATATTTCATATTGTTCTTTTCTCATTTTTCATACCTTGTGCCTCTAGCTATCAGATGCTGTCTTTTTCCTAATGGGCATCCAATGTCAATTGTTAGTGAAATCCTAGATTGATTGATGTTTTACTTTTTTATTTGACTCTCAAAAGATTTTTGTTCTAAGAGAGATACTATGATAATGCTAAGTGGAATGCCATGAGCATAAAAAAATGGTCTCGTTGAGTTATACTTATTTCTTTCCTCGTCAACGAGATTGTAAAGGTATGTTGGCTATGTTCGGCCCTTCCATATGAAGAGAAAGATGAAAGTCACCTCCAATCAACATCAGGCAAATGCTGGAGCAGTACCCTAACAAACAGGCCACGGAATGTGTGCAATCTTTCCTTCCCCGTTCATGTCCCCCTTACTTACATACCCTTACACTCTCATGCTCTACACTATCACAACTGGTTGGAGAAAATCCCTGCAAGTAGCCAACGTAGGATGGTGTCAGATTTCACCAACCAGCAGGGGAAAATCACCAACACCACCTACGATAAAAACATGCACTTCAATTATGGGACTAAAGAGCTTGGTAGTTGTTGTGTCCGGAATCCTCGGTCAATAAATTAAAGTCGCATGCTGCATGTCAGTGGTTTAAAGCAGAAATGTTTGAAATAGCACTAAGATTTCGCAAAAGCCGTATACCAAGATAAGTATGTGATGTAAGGTGACATTTTATTTTCAACCCTCATCTTGTTACTTACGCAACGTCCTTTTTTAATGAATCTTTTTATGAAATTACTATTTGAATTTAAATTGTTTTTGACAAGTCAACTTTTAGTGAGTTTGTAACTCAAATAGCAAGGCATTAATTTTTTAGTATTTAGCATTTATAAAATAATTATTTATTTATAAATTAATGATAGCAGCAAAACAAGCTGATATTCACATATCCCAAAATTTTGTATCAAATTAACTATGTGAAATATATTTTTTGATTTTTGAACTATTAATATAAATAATATAAAAATAAACTATTAATAATTAACATTTTATGAACATTTTATTTCACACCTAATATTTTAAGCAATATATTATTAAATCTGGGTTAAATTTACCCAAGCCTTATAACTTACAAAACAAATTCACCATATGAGTGTGGATTTGCTGTCATTCCCTTCAGCTGATGTAATATCATTAAGAATAGAACATACCAATTTTTTTTTTTTTTTTTTAATATTATTATTGAAGCCCCATTCTGACTTCTTTAACTTTCGGGCATTTTTATTAGTCACTTGCTAAGAATGAACTAGTTTTTCTAAGATAAATGAGCCCACCCAAATATTGTCATGAGTTGTTTTCTATAAAAAAAATTGAGTTTTCATATTTTCACTTTGGATTGGAAATATAAAAAAAAAATATATTTTAATTCTTGAGTGCTTTTGCGAGTTCATGGAAAAAACATATTAATAGCAAGTATTTTGACACCATATTCTTGTTTTTTTTAATATATTACAAACATAAGCTTAAATTAAAAATTTAATGAAATAAGAATATATTTTAAAATTCCTTTTCCGATTGATTCAGGAAAATGATTGTCCATTAATGACAATTGAAAGAAGACATAAAATTTTAACTTTCAAGCTTTGTTTACATCTACAATTAGTTTCACAGTATTTACTAAAATTTCTGGGTAAATGAAAGCAAATGTTTATATGAGGCTAGAGCTTTGGAAAGACAGGTATTTTCATCTGCCTCTTTGTGCCTCGCATTGCTTGTGTTGTTTGCCAATGAATATTAAACTACAATTTTTCAATATTGATGTAATATTCAAGGTTTTGAATAAAGGATAGGGTATAATCATTCAAACACTAGAATATACAGTTTTTGTTCAATGAGAAACAAATTTCTAAGTAGTTCAAATTGTTTTTTCTGTCATGAACCAGTATTAGCAATGAAACTAGTAAGGTGATATTTCGAAGTTGCTTAAAAAAGACAATTATTTAAGTACTTGTTTAAAAAACCTAAATCTTTGTAAATATTAGTGTATTCTCATTTACTAAGTAAATAATATCTGCATATTTTTTCTCTTTTCCTGATTGTATATTAGATTATCTGACACTGAGAATTTAACAAAAAGGTAATAAAATTAATGTTGTTAATGATAATTTATACTTTCTTAAACAATTACTGAAGTAATTTCCAGATCAAGTAACCTTGAAATGCTGCCTCACTTGTATCACAAGTACTATAAATGTAAAGTTTGTGTGCATCTCCTTGATCAAAAAATTAATAATTTAGGGTTTCAACAATGTTTTTCAACCTGTTTTATACTAATAATTCAAAATTATGTTAAGATTTGAAGAAAACAAATTCAAAACATATTACCATACAAGTTACACTAAGCAAGGCATGAAAATGGTGAATGAGAACACTCATCTTTCGAAAGCCTTAATGCGACCAAGACTTCTTGTACCTTACAATATCTTGGAATACAATAATATCTTTCTAGAATGTTTTAATGAAGATACATAACAAAGAATAGTCTTACAGATTCTTAAGTTTCAAAAGAATTGTTTCCTTGTTTGAAAATAAACATTCAATGATGTTTTTTATTGTACAAAAGTTGGCCTTTTTTACTAATCATATTAGTAAGTTGGTGTAGATTTCATGTACTGGACATCTATTCAACATCTTTGAAATCAGGTGATTTTTAAGTTTTTGGGGCTGACAGTAGTGTTGGAATTACACGATACTAATGAAGGCTTATAATAGAAAAAACGAGAAAGTGCAATTTTATAAATGTTCTGAGATAAATAACATTTCTTTTAAAATTACCTAGAGGTAATGAATGTGAATGAGTATCTCATTCAAATCTTTTATGAATTGTTTGGTGTCCTTGTGAATTTGTCACGTTTTCAAAACAGATGTGTGTGGGGTTTTTTTATTTTAATAAGTACAGTTAAAAGGCATTGGGTTTTGTAAATACTTATATTTGCTTTGATGAGCATCTAGAAAAATAATTCACACAATTCAAAATATTAAAACTGGAATATCAAATATGACACTAAATGAGTATGCCACTACCTGAAAATGGTTCTCAACTGTGAATAAAAAGTCCTAGTATTACATAAAAATATATTCCTTTATTTTAAACAAACTCTATTAGTGAAAGTGATATTACATTTAACTGTTTTCGCAGAATGTTGTAAACTATAAAAACTAGCATATTCTAATGCAACTGGCATTTGTTGCATCAGGTATGTGTAAGGTAAAATGTAAAAAATGTAATTAGAAAGGTATATTAGACTGAGAATGTTAAAACAAATTAAGGAATACTTGTTTCGAAGTTAATTGTACATTATTCTTGCAAAAAATGCATAATTAATTATTGTGTAGAGTAAGCAGTATTATTAGCATTATTGTTGTCAAAGGATTGTCTGCATAATGTGATTCTTATTATTTAGATAGAACTTTATTTCTTACTGTTCATATCTCTTTCTTTATTTTCTGTGATAGTTTCTTGAAATTTAATAGATGAAGAGTGTGTATATTTCATAATAACATTTGTTTCAAATAAACATTATTGAGGGTATGTTTCATTTAAAATGTATTTTCTAAATATGGTAGAAGGCAACTGTGTTCTATATTTTGTCTTCTAACTGAAAATATATAATATTTTTTGATCTCATTTATACCTTCATAATAAAAATAAATTTATTCTGAAAGGCCTGAATAACGAAACAACAAAAAATACCCGATCGATCAGAAATGAAATTAATAGAATAACTGAAATAAATATCTAAAATTTATTCTCATTCATTGAAGAGAATTCATGTGTTCATGCATGTTTAGTATTCTATGACTTAGAGTGGCCATTAAAAATTATGGTTAATATTTTCTTAATCCCCATTCATAGAACAGTTTAGAATGGGGGAAAAAACAAAAACCTACAAAATTTCAGCTGATTTGGATAACTCCTGTCCCTAAGGGATTGAAATTTAATAGTGATTTAACTCAAGAAATTATACTTTTTGACAGACACTTTTGAACATAACATTCTTATTTTCCAATATTTTGACATGAGTATGTGTGTCCTACAGTTGTGGGGATTGTGGAACACAAATCCAGTGCGAAAAATTATTATTAATTATGACTCATTTGTTTAGGTTGGCAATTATAATGAAAGGATTTACAACAAATTTTTCAACTTTCATTTTTCAATGGCCACACTAGTGGAATGGTATGTAAAATAGAATTCAAAATATCAAAACTGATTTTGGGAGAAAAAGGTATGTAATAATCCTTCATATATTATTTAATTTCGGGTTTCTTTTTTTAAATAAATCTTACACTATTTGCAGTTTTCTATAACTCATGTTTCTGATATTTCTTGAATTTACATTGTGAGTTTTCCTGTGTGTGATGGCTTTTTAACTTAATTTCTGAGGTTTATTCAGTTGTTCCAATTTCAGGATATCCAACATTGTTTGATATTTAGTTCAGATAATTAATGTTCTACTGCACATGTTTACACTTTGTATCATAAGCATCAGTGTTTTCAGCAGTTCTATTTTGTTCATAGGTAAAATAGTTATAATTTAAAGATATGGCATGTGCCATATAAACTATTGAAAAACATTAAGGGATACAAATAAAAATGAGACAATAGAATAAACAATAAATTATTGTAACGAGAATTTGTTTGTTAAGTAATATTTCAATCAGAAAAGTTTGTGTTCAGTTTCTATTTCCCTATTGAGATATAAGAATTTGAGGGTGATGGAGAAAATGTTAAAAACTTTTGTTTTCCTTTTGTTATTTCATATTCCGTAATGTACTGAAATCAGTTTCAACTTTCCACTATGTAGTTTTCTAACATGAAATATTGTTAATTCATTTTTAAATTACTCAGCCATTACATTGTTATATGTATACTGCCTTATATTAATATATTATACAATTTTGTGATATCCCGTAATTTTTTTCTGGTTTTGTATTTTTGTGGTAATTCATCTTAATATTCTTTAATAGATGAAAACATTGATAAATATTTAATGCTTCTGCTAAGTTAAATGAAGATATATTGCTCATTAATCTCTTGCTGTTATCTGTTACTGTTGTGAATAGCATTGTATTGTTTGTCTTTATTTTTCAATTCATTTCTCAAGGTGCAATAACAAGAAAAGGATTGAAAAATATTTGTTCTTAATATTTAATTGAATTAGTGTTATAAAATCCAAACTACCATGTCAATCTATTAGTGATAGAATTTTCCATTCCTACTTGGTGTTGAAAATGTTCTATAGATTTTTATGTGATTTATTTCTTTTAAAGATAATTTGTAGTAAATCAGTGCTTCTCAATCAGTGTCATTTCATTCAAGTCAACAAAGAATGAATTGAGAAGAAAAGCATACTACTTGCAATACGCTGTTTTTCCATTTTAATTACTATTTATAACTCTCTCTTGAGCACAAACTACAAGAGAAGATCAAATAGAAATTCAAATTTCTCTGTTGAACAATTCAATTGCACTCACATGATTGAGAAACACTATAGTATAGAACTTATTGCCTGCGAAAACGTGGGCAGTTTCGCAGGTTTTGTTGTAAATGCCTAAAATGCGACAACCATTAATCAGAACGTCTTAAGTGTGCTACATCCATGAACACGAACGTCAGATCAAATCTGCTGTGTTAGGCGATGTCAAAAACCATTTCCGAACGAAATTGCATTTGATTCTTCCGAAATTGTGTAAATTGCCTACGTCAACTTTTCGCTGTTGGGCATCTCCCATGAAAATAAGTTAATTTTGTGGTGTTTAACTGTTTTGCGGAGGCATACATCATCTGA